CTTTGTGTTAATATAATAAGAGAACCGAGTTCTTAGAATCAAGTCAATGGCTGTCCTGTAAAATTTGAGTGCCGTAAGATAGGCAGTTTTGCAAACAGGCCAAAGAGCGGTTTTGCAAAGAGAGTAAAATCCTCCAACGGTAAAATCCACGTGGTGTCCAAAGCGGGAAACAATGTATTAATTTAAGATATTTATGGCTTTCCCAGTCTTCAGTTAACTCGTTATCAATGTCTTACAACGTCCATTATTAGTCTCTAAATAAATATCCAAATTTTTTATTTAATTTCAGATGTGTTCCCGCAACATTAAGATCTCGGTGGTGCTGTTTCTTGTCTTGATTCCACTTATCACAGCCTTGCCACACAACAATCACAATTTGTCAAAACGAAGCAATTTCTTCGATTTAGAGTGCAAAGGTATTTTCAACAAAACAATGTTCTTTCGCTTGGATCGCATTTGTGAAGACTGCTATCAACTCTTCCGCGAAACGAGTATACACCGACTATGCAAGTAAGTTGTCGCTGCAAGTGTTAGTTTGTACATATGTATGTAATTGTCTCATAATATAACACGGTGGTAAACCATGAAGGTAAACTCGAGGAGTACCTATTACGCGATATCTGCATTTATCTATCGAATTTTGTAGTGTGTTCCCAAATCATTCAGATACAATTTTTAATAAAAAAGCATTGATCATGGCGGCATAGCGTTGAGAACTGACAGTAATGACGTTGTTTAAGTGACTTGCGCTCACTTAAAGTATTTCCATGACTTGCGCTCATAACGACTTGCGTTCGCTTGAAATTACTTTCATGACTTGCGTTCATGCATCCCTGTTCGAATTCCACACTACAAGCATCCCTGCTCTAGTTGGAAGTTCGACAAGTGCACGGGAATTGCTTCCCAGGGTTGCTTATGGGCACACTGGGCTACTTCCAGTGTTGCCTATAAATGCAACCGCCGCCTTGTTACTCTCTCTTCTTTTTCCACTGACGTTCAGCAGGATAGCAGCACATCATCATTTTCNGATTGTTAAACATTAATTCTTGCACTCAACTTGTTATTTAAAATCATTCATACTTTCCGCGTATTAACATTCTCAGTTTCTACATACATATTATTGTTAATTAAAGTCACCTTCAAACATTAAAGTCTCTTGTATTATATTCGTTCATGCATACATGCATATGCATTCAACCATACTTTCATCATTTTCTTGAAATATTGTAAATTTGAATTATTGTTAATAAATACTACTTTTTAATATCGAAACCAATATCGTAAAGATTGAACAGACGTCTTCATCGTCGTTTTCGTAAAAGTAGGGCCCAATGACGCCGCCGCCCCACAATGCCCATATAAATGTCAAGTACAGCCAAGTAATTCTCCATGTGGTCCCTCCATAGCGGAAAAGGCCTAAGGGTCAGTTTTTTAGACAAAAAAAAACTTAAATTGCTTTGTAAAAAATACTTTAGGCTCAGGGGTAGACGATGAACTTTTTTTGTTTGCTTGTAAGGTGTTACGGTCTAAAAATATTTTAATAGAGACAAATAAAAACATTTGCTGGGAAAGCTAACTGGTTTTCGTTACCACTGTGTTATCAAATTGCATACATACATACGTACATATTTAATTGTTCCAGCGTAAAGTAAGTATGTATACTCGTAATAAAATATAATGAAAAATATTTGGCTTATTGAGTTAGGTATAGCATAACCTTTCATCCTAGTAAACTCTATATAGCACCGTCATTTCGCTGTAGGTACATAGGACTGCTTTATTGCAAAAAGATTATAGTTTTGCTACTGAAAGTATTATCATAACATCTTTCTGAGTACCAAATTTTGAATAGCTTCTTGGTTACTTTCACTTTTTTCTTAGAAAATTGTTTTCAATACAAATTTAAAAGTATTGTAATTTGTACCAAAGTGATAAAAATATACAACTAGCACTTTTTAAAGACCCCTAATAAAACTATAAATCAGGTACCGAGAACAAAAGGTTTGATCGCAACTACGTGTCGTTCTCGTAGTTTT